CCGCGAATATTCCAATGAAGGATAGTTATACTTTCGTTGATTTAGTGATATAGATTGCAGTACGTGTTGGAAACTTTGAGGGGGAATCAGCTAGAGGGTGGGATAAGGACTGAGAGGTTTGAGATGGAAGAGATGTGGGAGTTGGTGTTCTATTAGGAGGGGTATTAGGAGATGGAGGGTCTGAGGAAGGGGATACTTGTGACATAAGGGATTCACGTGTGTATCCAGGAGGGAGTGGAAGGGATAGAGGGGATGGTGGGAGAGTTAATGTGGGCGGGGTTGGGGTCAGGGGGGATGGGCTGTGTTGGGAGGGGGTAGGAGGGTAGGGTGTAGGGGGGATATCGTTAGGAGGAGGATGGATATCAGCAATTACTTGGAGTGTGGAAGGAGCAGGAGTTGTAGGTTGAGTGTCAGTTTTCATTAAGTAATCTTGAATATTTTCAATAGTTTCTTCTGTGGAGTTGGTTGGGGAGTTTTGGGGGATAAAGGATTTCTTGTGAGGGGGGGAAGAGAGGACTGGTGTCTCAAGAGTACGGGCAAAGGATGGTGGGGGTGATTGTGTGGTAGGGGAAGAGGGGGTGGAACGTTTGTTCTGTCTGTTACGGGGAGTGCGAGGAGGGAGAGGGGAAGGTGTTGGGGTTGTAGTGGTGATTGGAGTATCTGTAGTAGAGATTGGAGTTTCTGGATTTAGGATGGCAAAAGAGTTTGACTGGGGAAGGTAGGTGGGGTTAGTGGGGGGGTTAGATGTAGGAGGGGTGGGTTTAGGAGAAGTGTTAGGATGAGCAGTATTACTGGAGTAAGGAGTAAGAGAGAATCCACGTCGACGTGCTTCCTGTCTGGCTTCACGCAGTGTGAGTCCGAGTTTGAATCTGAGAGTTGCTACCTCAGATTCAAAATTGTAGGTGGGACAGCCCCTATAAAATACATTATGGGGGCCGCCACAGTTGGCACATGTGCGTGATTGTGCAGAGCAGTTAGATCGGGTATGGCCAGGTTGGGCACATAATGGGCATCTGGCTGTGGAACGGCAGTGTTTGGCTGGGTGTCCTAGACACCAACAATTTTGGCACTGACGTGGAGGAGGTTGGTATGGACGAACAGGGAGGGATTCTCCTCCTATGTAGACGTTAAAGGGAAGGTCATGTCTACGGAAGGTAATTTTGGCTATGTTAGTGGGTTTCTTTCGATGACCTCTGGGGGGGATTGAGTAGCATTGTACTGATGTTGCATCGTAGTCTATGAGACAGGCAAGTAGATCATCTCCACAATCTGACCAATCTTTGTCATAGATTGGGCAATTTGCTGGTGAGATTGAGACTGTTCCGGTGCAAGTATTGAGGGTTGGATGGGGTTCTGCTAGGATGGGGTTACCATATTGGTCAGTTAGTTTTGTTAGTGCTATGGCTTGGTTTTCGGATGTTACTGTTACAAGACGGGAGCGGTCGGGTCGGCTACGGAAAGAGACTTTACCTACTTGTTTTCGGAGGCATTGTTGGAAGAGAAGGGTGTTGTCAGAGTAGGGAGCTGTGGGAGGGATCACGAAAAATCGGTCCCATTTGGCTGCACTGAAGAGAGTATTCAAGATTGTTTTAGAGATAGTGGTGGTAGAAGGGCGAGGGCGTGACGAAGATGGAGTAGTGTTGATGGAGGTAGTGTTATGGAGAGGTGGGCTATAAGGCTGTAAGGTATTAATAAGGGAGGATGGGGTGGTTGATGTTGGAGGTTGTGGGGGTAGAGGTGTTGAAGTTGGGTATGCTGGGAGAGTGGAAATGTTCCTTGAGGGTTGATTATTGGCTACTGTACTAGTAGGCATTGGTGAAGGGGTAGTTATTGCAGTGTTCGGAGCCGTGGTCAAAGGAGAGCCTGGGGTCGGGGAATCAGGTGGGTTTACTTCGTTGGGGCTATTTGATAAAGGGGCAAGCCTCATTGCCCCTAACAGTGGAGATATATTTTCATTACTGGCCATGGGAAGCCTGGATTATGTTGGGGATAAAAACAGTCCACCCCTCAGGGTCCCCTTGAGGGGTAAGGGCTAGATAACTAAATCAGGGGAATACCGTGCCCATGGCTCCCTCAGGCCGTTCAGGACTGGCACAAAGTCAGCCTTTCATCCTTTCAGCACGGCTCTCACACCTTAGGAGGTGGATAGCAGAAGGGTTTGGTGAAGGGACAAACAAAAGTGGGAAGGGAAAAAAAAAGACCATGCATAATTAGTTGAGTCGAGGGCTGAGTCCCAAGGTTGGGGAGTTCCCCATCATTGGGTCCCAGTCTCCGCCTCCTAAGCCCCCCCACGGCAACAACGGGCAAGGGATTGGGGGGGTGATTATTAGTAAAGAGTAAAGGGGGAAGGGGATAGAAAATTAAAAACCTGCAACAGTATATGGAGAGGGGGATGTTGAGAGGAAGGGGGAGTATTCTGAAGTTTGAGCAGTGGCAAGAGGATTTGGAATGGAGAGCGTTATTAGTTAATATCGAGGAGGGAATATCAGTATCACGGGTCGAAGCCGTGGTCAAAGGAGAGGCAAGGGTCGGGATACAAGATGGGGTTTGGAGCGTGAAGCCGAGAAGTACAACTGATAAAATATTGTGGCAAAAAGGAGTAATACGAGTTACTAAGGATAAGTGGACAGAAGAGGATGGGGAAAAGAAGGAAAAGGAAAGAGGGACAAGATCGTGCAGAAGTAGTAGAGGCGAAGGTAAAGGTTCAAGGTAGGGGTGATCTATAATGGATCTATATCATTTAGTCTCCATCTCCATTTTTTTTTTTTTTTTTTTTTTTTTTTTTAAGATTAATTTGAAGTATGTGGATTGGCTTCAACATTTATAAAATCCATACGAACTTTGGCTTATTTTATTAATCATAGTACAAGTTTTATGCGATATAGTTATCGTCCGGCCGCTCCACCTGTCTTTCCACCGGTCTTTCCACCGGTCTTTCCACCTGCCGCTGCACCAGTCTTTCCACCTGCGCCGGCCGTTCCACCCGCCGCTGCACCAGTCTTTCCACCTGCGCCAGCCGTTCCACCCGCCGCTGTACCGGTCTTTCCACCTGCGCCGGCCGCTCCACCTGCCGCTGCACCGGTCTTTCCACCTGCGCCGGCCGCTCCACCTGCCGCTGCACCGGTCTTTCCACCTGCGCCGGCCGCTCCACCTGCCGCTGCACCAGTCTTTCCACCTGCGCCGGCCGCTCCACCTGCCGCTGCACCGGTCTTTCCACCTGCGCCGGCCGCTCCACCTGCCGCTGCACCGGTCTTTCCACCTGCGCCGGCCGCTCCACCTGCCGCTGCACCGGTCTTTCCACCTGCGCCGGCCGCTCCACCTGCCGCTGCACCGGTCTTTCCACCTGCGCCGGCCGCTCCACCTGTGCCGGCCGCTCCACCTGCCGCTGCACCGGTCTTTCCACCTGTGCCGGCCGCTCCACCTGCCGCTGCACCGGTCTTTCCACCTGTGCCGGCCGCTCCACCTGCCGCTGCACCGGTCTTTCCACCTGCGCCGGCCGCTCCACCTGCCGCTGCACCGGTCTTTCCACCTGCGCCAGCCGTTCCACCTGCCGCTGCACCCGTCTTTCCACCTGTGCCAGCCGTTCCACCTGCCGCTGCACCCGTCTTTCCACCTGTGCCAGCCGTTCCACCTGCCGCTGCACCCGTCTTTCCACCTGTGCCAGCCGTTCCACCTGCCGCTGCACCCGTCTTTCCACCTGTGCCAGCCGTTCCACCTGCCGCTGCACCCGTCTTTCCACCTGTCTTTCCACCTGACCCGGTGACGGCCGTTCCACCGGGCTTTCCACCTGCGTTAACCGTTATCCTATTATCACAATCGATAAGCTGGTCAAAACAAGTTCCAGAGAGCGGCGAAATGCTGATGCACGCTTGGAGCTTCGCTAAACACGCTGCAGAGAGCCTCCCAACACCAAAGATTCTCCCGGTATCCGTCATCTGGGGAAAAAAATAAATCCATATATCTTTTAAAAACATAATGAATCATTTTGATATATCAAGAACTAAATGTAATAACACTGAAGACCCTATCACACTAGCACGCTGTAAACAAACATGGGGCCATCCGAGTGAGGTCCCGGGAATGACAAGCGTTCTCAGTCCAGATCATGCCATTCAAAAATAATTATGCATATTGTACACATTCTAGAACAAACTTATATTTACGCTAATTTACTCTAATATATCAATAAACATTCTATCTGTATAGATCCTCCGTAGAACGAGATCAAGACGGAAATTAATCAGATGGAAACGGTATCGTCTCATTCTGGGAAAGCCTAAAATTCACATGTAAACAAAAAATGACTGAAAAAGTGCTAGTGTGATAGCGAGCGTTTATATTCGAGAATACTCACATCTTCCTGAGAGTGGCTGTGGCTACCTCCATGCGTTGCACTCGCTACTGCAATCAGCGCCATCAGCATGAAGACCTAAAACAGATTAAATGAGATGAGCATTCTGGGAATTCTGTACATTTTCCTTTTAGATTATGCAATGGAAATAACTTGTTTATCTAATCTTTCGGCAAGTCCGTATTAGTCTCGATACATGGTGAAAAGAAAAATAGAATTTATAAAAAGTAAATAGTTGGCACAAGGCTGCCATTTGCATTCATGATTAAGCATTGCTACTGGTAATAGCAATTCATAATATTAATCAATTATGATAATTGTAGATGGAATTACACGATCAACTTAACTTCAATAAAAAAAATATATATGAGGGAGAGGGAATAACCGTAAATCATTTACATATTAGTAAATATTTCTAAAGTTGCCTGTCTGTGGACATTGATGTTTATTACTAAACACGACTTTCAAGTTCAACCTTAAAGATTCCTTCCTCTACAAGGTAAATCAAGATCTCAAGTTTCCACTTTGACAGCGGACCCACAAAAACGAATGTGCTTTACTGCTCATTCTGTATGAATCGGGGATGTAAGACTTGATTATATATTCCATAGTCAAGCCAATCGGTTCATGCCCCTTAATATTAGGGGGCATGAAAGTAGATTTGGGAGGTTTGCTTATTTCTAAAGTTCTTAGAACTCCCTACAGGTCTTAATAGGTTATATGGGGGTTGATACTCGCATAAAACTTTATCTACGTTTCTTTCAGTACACCTATATCATTCACGCAGTCATGAACAGCCAGTTTTAAGTCTTGCTGATTTATGTTAATCCCACGTATATTCAGTAATGCTATCTTATTTCTACGGGTTAATATTACAGATAGCAACGGACAGATAGGAGTAAATGGACGCCGCCATCTTACAGAAGAAAGTCAACAGGTACGTTT